AATAATAGTAACTGCTAGAGGCGCCATCCAACCACCCGTTCCCCACAGGGCAATATTGCCTGCAGCCACTCGAAATAAAATGTGAAAACATCGAGCAAGAGTCAGACTATAAGTATTTGGATGTTACAATAGACAACAAACTCAACTGGCGTGTCCACACTTCTCTCCTACATTTTAAAAAAAAGTGAACAAAAGACTATTTTTTTCTAAAGAAGCTAAGTATTATATAAGTTGATAAAACATCGAAGTCCATATTCTACCAATCAACCATAGAAAGTATGATCAATTTTTGTACAACAGCATGGGCCGGGAACACAAGACAACAAGATAAAGAAACATTAAATCCCCTATTACGGAAAGCATGTAAAATTTCAACATCTACATTCCTCTACTTGGAAGAATTGTACATAACAGCTTGACAAAAAAAATTAATTCCATCATTTAAGACAACAAACATCCCTTGTTCCCTAAAATAAAAACATCTGTCAGAATTAAAAGACCTAGGCTTCTGATCTGTAACAAAGAAAGATATAGCAGGTCATTTTTACCTTCATCTATCAAAATGCTACGACCTTAGAGCATGCATCTGAATAACATTGAGTGTGTATCCAGCTTAAGATTATTATTGTTTATATTACTGCTCATTTATATTATGCTTGTGATTGTAGGCCTGCGTGTGTGTGCATGTGTGTGTGTGTGTGTGTGTGTGTGTGTGTGTGTGTGTGTGTGTGTGTGTGTGTGTACACGTGGTGAAACATCATCTTATCTTATCTTATTGATAATGAAAAGAGGTATACGAAGCAGACCACACCAAAGGTCTCACTTAATCAAGCTCAGATATTACTGGTGCCGGGAAGGAATAGCGAGACTCACCACTACCCAAACAGACGATGGAGTAAGCAGATATTATTGTCCATATAATTACTTTTGTCCTGAGGTCTTATTCTTTACGATTTATGATTGATTGTAAACGCTTTACGCCCTATTCACAAAGTATAAATCAGATGATAGCCAAGTGTCTTCGACTATGCATACCAGGGCTTGCCAAGGTTGAGTTGACATCAGAATTCTAAAATTTAGTAGACAGACTGAGTTACTGTGTGAGTGGTTGGTGGGTGCCTTGATGTGGTTTGCCCCTTCTTTCCTAAAACAAACATATATCGTCCTTATCTTGCCTCATCCTTTGCTGTGTATGTTATCCTCTAGTATCAAAGTGGTGGCACCTGACGAGGCTCTGTGTCGTACTGTGCCCCTAAGATTCTCGTGGATTATGGGACCAGTGACAGTGGCAGTGACTCTAGTATCAACTCTAATCTTCGGCACCTGTACGACCTATTTGAGTCGCAAGTTTCATAAAGCTCTTACTGAAACTACAATAGAGATCATTGACATCATCATTATCCAGTGCCAGATCTGCAACAGACATCGGCGATCATGGTTCTCCATTCATTCCTTTTCTCTCATGCTTTAAAAAAACAACAAGAAAAACAAAAAAAAACAACAACATCACACACTCGAAGAAGGGACCATCTTGGGGACGGGAGGCGCCATAAATCCTACCAAAGCCCCCACTACTTTGTGGATTGTCAGTGGATGACAAAGGCTAGCAGAGAAAACTGTACACAAAGTGGTAGTAGGCAATGGGAAACCACTGCTGTAATATCCCAAGAATAATAATGGAAAAGAAAAAAAATAACTTCTTAGATAACAACGTTACGGGGTTCGTGATCCAGCTCTGAACTCCCCGCTCGGTTGGAACCGCAGGTGGCGCCCAATCGTCATCCAGCTACTGGATGCAAAACTAGAAAATACAGATTCTCTATAAAATAACATCCCAAGAAGATTGGGGGGGGGGGGGGGGTGAACTCGCGACTTTTCCTTCAAGGCTTCCATCGGATTACTTGGTATTCATAGAAGGCCAGCAATACTTGTTGTTTCAGATTGGGGAAATAGTTTTGTAAGACTCCGTTTAACATATTATTATGCATATTATAATGTGCATTCAGTATCTGCTCCGATCCGATCATTCAGAGCCGACGACTTGTCTGATACCTGTTTATGTCACTTTTAACGAAAAAAAAGCAGTTACAAAAACTTACCTGTTCCCAGAAGTTGTTGACGGTGATTCTCGTTTGTCTGTTTCCAAGAGATGGTGGTGGCTTGATCAGATTTGTGGACCTTTTTATCTACGTGAGGTGAGAAATCCTCATTAAGTTCCCGGGTGGGCGAAGTCGCCCACATACCTGACCCTTGCCTCAGCTCCAGATGTTTTGACGCCACGGGTGTCACAGAGAAACACTTTCTCTTCATCTGACCGTGCGAGAGGCCTGATTACAAGACCCAGAACAAAGCAAAACAAAGAGACAAAAAGCAACAACAGCAACAGAGACACAAAAACAAACTACTCCGTGCATTTTGCTCAAAGAACAAGGGTATTATATTTACATTCAATTTGAAGTCGTCTGCATGTTTGGAGTGGGGGTGGGGGTGGAGTTGGGGGTGGGGGGTGAATTCAGCATTTGTTTAGAAATAAGTTATAGAGTAATTGAAACTTCGCAAACCAAGCTCGATATCAGCTGAACCATCAAATCTCATACTGATCGGCCGGACCGACTTGAGGCCAATTCAAGATGTAGATTATAGAAATTAGACCGTGGGTAGGTGGTTCCCACTTTGTCCACACACCATCAAGTCATGAAACGTCAATTAGTCTGAGGCGGCTCCTGGATAATGTTGTGAGCAGATGTTCTTTCCCACCCACGTTGTTGTAATTGTGTGTGTCGGGGGTGGAAAGGGGGGGGGGGGGCGGCCATATCGACGTGGTTTCGCTGATCAAGGAGGCGTCGATGTATCCTAGCAACGAGATGCCCAGTTAAATATCTCATCTCTCTGAGTGGTGTTGCCCATGTGTTTGTTTTAACATGGCGGCACTCGGTCCTTTTCGTCTGACACTTTTCGTTTGAAATCAGCAACAGAGCAAAAATAGCTAACAAAAAAACAAAAAAAAACAACGAAAACAACAACAACAACAGAAAAAACAACAACAACAACAACAAAAACAACAACAACAACAACAACAACAACAACAACAACAACAATACAGCTACTTTCGATTGGGACCTCAGAAGGAAATGGTTTGTTTTCTTCATCTTGATCAGTCCTGCCTAAGACGACAAACCTGTCTTATACGGCCACTTTTCTACTTTTCTCCTTGACAATGGCTGGCCGTCTTACACAGGTTCAACTGTACTAGAACTGACTACTCTGCTTGACAGACTGGGAGCAGATGGGCATGATACATTCTTCAACAGCAGTCTCCTCAACAGTGTACTGTTGTCTAGGTGTACATCTTTCCTACCAGAAGATCAGGGGTGTGGCTGAAAGACAGCAGTAAGAAAGGTCCAAGGAGTAGCAGTAGAAAGGCCACAGAAAGAGTCAGGAGCCCAGAGGAAGGGCAAAGGAGATGACGGGATGGGGGCAGAAAGAGGAGACGAAAGTAACGACAGCATATTGCTAGAAAGCAGGAAAGGAGACGATTTTATTGAAGATTTTTTTTTCGGTCGCTACCCTGATTCGAACCCGGGACCTTTGAATGAGAAGCCAACACCTTGTGAAATTCTCAAAAGTTTTCTGAGAGTCCACAGGTGAAGAAGCCAAATTAAATTCGATGGTTGATATTCCCATTTCAACAGAAACAATTAATTATTATGACAGGAGCTTAAGATAAGATAAGATAAGGTAAGATAAGATAGTATAAGGTGAGATTTTTTATCCTAGAGGGAAATGTTATATTAATTATTTCCACATATTTACACGTGCAAATGTGTGAATGTGTGGGTCTTTATGTGTACGTGTGTGTGTTTGTGTGTGTGTGTGTGTGTGT